CGGTGTTGCCAAAGGAAGCTGGAAAAGACTTGTGAGGGGTATATAATTTTTTCATTGGCTCCCTTATTCTAGTGTCTACCCAGATCTGACTGGGTAATTTTGTCCTACCTATCCTTAGTATTTGGCAGCAAGACAGTGCGTCTTTTTAGACTCTGACTACATAATTATAGGAATCCTTTTATTTCAGGTTAATGAAAAACAATCAAAATGTAATTTTGACCTTTTTTTCTTGTATTATGAAATTATTATACCTTCTAACTAAAGTGCTGTTTTATTTTTCGTCATTTAGCAGGTTTTTAAAATAAATATTAGAAATCGCTCAGGCACAGCTTTTGCATTTTTCTGATTTCCCATCTCTTGGTTTAATGTTTTATCCTTTCTGTCCTGTTGGTTGCCGGGGACTCACCATAGTCTCCATCTTCTCTCTTCCTGGACATGAATTATGATTCCCATCCATTCACTTTGTGAATTGACTATGTTTATATAACCATACAATTATTTTTAAATGTGTAGTACAGAGTTGTAAGGTTGAAGAGTGAGCCATTTATTTGTTCTGAGGACTAATCACTTTGCTCTAACAAAATTTCACTTCTTTTCATCACAAAGGTGATTATAATTTCTCAAGCTAATTGAGCTTGTTCTTAAATTCAGATGGAATGAATTTTAATATCATAACTCGCAAGTGTGATGTTCTCAGTCACCATTGTTGATTTCATTCAGTTTAATGGCGATCTGAAAGTAAGACTGACCTGGAATCAACAAATACAAAACACAAAAATCCCACACGAACAAATGGGTTAGAATGGAGTTTTTCTTTGGGGGATGGTTAAGGAAGTGCAGCCTGTCCATCATTCATGACTGGGTTCCATTCCTGTTTATTTTCAGGATTTTCTAAAGCTGTAGTGCTTGAGTGAGCCACTTTGTTCTTACTTGAAGGTTTTAAGGAAAGTAGGAACAATATTCAGAGTTATTGACGGTGCAGTATCCAGTTATGTAGAAAGCCGGCCTGAGCTCTTCTCAGTTTCCCTTATCACAGAGGCACAGCGCCTGTTGTGGTTTATTCTGACAAGAAGACATGGCCACATAGAGTTCACCGATTCCACGAACTCACCCAACCGAACAGCAAAGCCGCTGTTGAAAGCAATCTTTGTACAGTTACAACATAGGTGCAAGGGCACGTATCTGTGAAGCCAGATGCAAATACACTCCAAGGGCAGCAAGGCACACATGAGGACCTGAGTTCAAATCATCAGCACCGCATGAAAAGCTGACCAAGCTGTGCTTTCCCAGTGCTGGGAGGGAGCAAAGGAGAATGCTCATCTACCTAGCTAGCCAGTCTAGCCGGTCGGTGTCCTCCAGATTCAGTGAGAGACACTGTCTCAAAGGATAAAGAACAATTAGTGTGCAGACTGGGCACCTGCACTCGTGCACGCATGCACACGCGCGCGCGCACACACACACACACACACACACACACAAATGTCTGTTTTTATGTTATTAAATCCTAGTAACCAAAATTAATGTGTGCTGAGGTGACATCTAAATGATTGAGAATAGTAACTCCTACATGAATATCCAGATGTGAGCTTTATAGGCTATACCAATTTGATGTTAGACTTGTTGAGTGTATTGTCTTTTTCTACATTTTAGGGTGCCAAAATACAAATGCAACGGATGTGTGCATAGATCTCCTGACCTCCCTTATCACCTTACAGACTGCCTGGTTTGTGTGTGTGTGTGTGTGTGTGTGTGTGTGTGTGTGTGTATTTAAAGGCTTGTGATGAATATAAATTATTTTCTGGTCTCTGAATAAAAGCATTTGGTCAGCATAGCTCAGAATAAACACTTGGTATTAAATTTGGTTTGTATTCCATAACATTCATTAGCACTAGGATATACTGCTGTTAGCGTTACCTGAATTCTCAAAGGAAGTTATGCTGCTGGTGGATTTTAGTTGTTTTGTGGTTTTAGACATTTAGGTAATGCTCTAGCATGGAATGTTTGTTCTAACTTATTCCTGATCTTTTTATTTGTGGAACTTCAGTCATTCAGTAGTATAGTCAGCTCCCAACCTATTTTAAACCCCCTAAAAATAAAAGTTTATGAAATATCCCTTGCGTGGATTACTGTTACTTTTTCTGTGCATATTGAAGCAAATTCCTATGGCTTTGCATAAGATGTCTTCTGAAGTATCTTCTGTTATGCCAGAACCATCAAAGTGCTTATGCAAATTCACATTGCTGGACCCAACTTGTGGTCACAGGCACTAGAGATAAGCTTCCCTCATGCTCTAACCCCAGTCAGTACGTTGGTTTGCCATCTTGAACTTGGGTGGATGCCTTACTTCAGCTGCCATTTCTCTGTGTGGAATGAATAGGCGTCTTCTCGAGTCTTCCCAGGAATTGTCACAGGACAGATAAGACGAGTAGGAACATCCTGTTTAAAATATACCCACAGCTTTTGGAAAGTTAGGGACCAAAACAAATTAAGCAACAGGTAAGAAGTGTATTCAGGTGATGCCTCTCCCCCTGATTAGTTATCTTAAGCACAGAAAGGAGGCTATGCGCCTGTCTGCACTTCTAAATTTCAAGACGAATGGGCCTGCAAATGGCTCAGCAGGTATAGGTGCTTGCTGTCAAGCCTGGCAACCCAAGTTTTATCCCAGAACTTATGTGATGGAAGGACAGAAGTGACTCTCACAAGTGGGTTCTTCGGTCTCTATGAGCATGCTGTGGAATATAATGCATATTATTTTAAAACATTGAAAGGACACACTGATGCAAAACTTATAACCAGGACATAAAATTCTTTTCCATGATTTCAGTCAAGGCTGTGTTCATAGGTAGAGGGCTGGCTTGGTGATGCGTGGTGAGGGAAGGCACTAGAAAGGAACACGAGAGAAGCAACTGTTAGTATCTACAAGTTCAACGCCAGGCTTTGTTTGTGCTATTTATGGGAATAAATACAGAAACTGACCAGTGAACTGACTGCACCTGAGTCATCTGGGTAGACATGACCTTTTTTCTATACTTCAGTTCAGTTTTAGCAAAGGAAAAGTGGTGGAGACACTGGGAGCCAGAAGTCCTGCTTTGTATACAGTTCTGTGGAGCTATCAAGAGCCATAACTAGCAGATAATGTAAAAAGGCATCTCCTGGCAATGCTGTGTTTTGCTCCCGTTTGACATGGCATTAGGTTGTGTGGGGTTGATTTGTTTCTAAGCATGCTGTGCTGAACAGAGAGCTCACAAATTAAAGGACTTAATGTCTCAGGCCATTTGCCTAGCTAATGATGTTAGAAACTAGGGTTTGGGCATTAGATGTATAAATTGAGGATATGACCGCTCCAAGATGTGGTTGAAGGGGAGATTTTGACTGTAGATAGGAGGGAGGGTACAGCCAGAGGCATCTGGGAGGGTCCAGAGCAGGGAGAGAAAGTAGTAGATTTAACATGGCCAGCAGACTGGACTTGGCCATAGTGGGGATGGGGAGTGAGAGAGGATGACTGACCAGGAGATAAGAAAAAGTGGTAAGAGAGAGGAGGCTGAGAGAGGAAGACAGAGAGAGAGAGAGAGAGAGAGAGAGAGAGAGAGAAAGAAAGAAAAGAACAGGAACAAAGAGGGTGCCTAACCAAAATGGCAGGGTTATATGGGAATAAGAAGCTGAGGAAGGGAAGCCCATGGGCTGGGGAGGTTCAGGATAGGAGCTGAGAGAAGCCACAGGTAGTTGTGCAGTGAGAGCCTGGAGGCCAGCACTCCTTTCAGTATGCAGATAGGTGGCCATGTGTCCCTTCTGACACTGCTGAAGGCTGGCTCTTTTGGTAGAGGGAAATAGGGACCAGGGCTTGGAGGAGTGGGATTTCCTTTGGACCTGAGAAAGACTAAGGAAGCTATAGACTGTTCACAGCCTTAAACTCTCAGTATAGAGACTTGTCCTAAAAACTATTAAAGGAGAAGAACCTAAATACAGTATTTGACTTACAATTGTGGCATAAGCATCAGTTTTCAGAGTTAGTTTATGCAAAGTCAAGTTAAACAGAATTTACTTTTCTATAGATTAAAAAAGGGTAAAGAAGGTTATTGACTGCTTAATCTTAGTGATATCTTCTTAACAAACAAGGAGTTCTGAGGAGATGCACTGATGAAAAAGTTGTCAAAGTAGTTGTGGAGATGTATTTGTCAATATGGTTAAAGCATTTTCCACAGTATAGCATATTATAATCTTTAATAAATGCTTCCGATGAATCACGCCAGGCTAAATGCATACTTATAGTTATTAAGCTTTAGTGATTTATTTTGGTTTTATTTTTCATTGTCAGTTCTTTGCAGGGTGAGCATCTCTGCCTCTGATTATTTTCACAGTTTGGGGTCATGGGTCAGTGTTATCTTTGAAGGACAGAAGGCTCATTTCTCACAAGTATTTGATTATCTGTAAATCTCCATTGCTGTGAGAAAATGGTAGTTCTCTTGTCAGCCATAAAATCCCTAATGCATGAGACTTGTAAAAGTTCAGTAGCCGTTTCCATTTTATTTGTTCTGGGTTCATTCAGAGGCATTTCCTGGAGAAACAGTGTTCTTTGAGTCTTCTAGGCTGATTTGCTTGAATTCAGTATACATAAAGTAGCAATGATAAGCCTGCCTCAGTCTCTCCATGGTTTAATGATGTTGAGAAGGAGACCTTGTGGCCAGCATTCAGAACTTTTTAGTTGATAGTCACTGCTTTAGATTTAACTTTGTAATTATAGACTTTTTAAATGGAAACAGTAACGCTAACATTATGTTGAAGGAACTTCCTTCAGCTTTTGAACTTTTCAAATGTCTTAAATTCTCGTTTTGATAATACATTTGTGATTGGGTTTATTACTTTTTCTTAATGTGTAATAAGATGGTGTGAATGATAACTTTTATGAAAAAGTCATAGCTATAGATGACTTATTTGCATATCATTTCTACAGTTCACTAGTTTTCTGTTTCACAACGGTGCTTGCCTCTTTCTTCTTTCAGGGTCGTTGCTCCAGGGAGAACTGCAAATATCTTCACCCACCCCCACACTTAAAAACGCAGTTGGAGATTAATGGACGAAATAACTTGATTCAGCAGAAGAACATGGCCATGTTGGCCCAGCAGATGCAGCTAGCCAATGCCATGATGCCTGGTACCCCATTACAGCCCGTGGTGAGCACGCTTTCATCCTTATCCCTGTCTGTGTGGCCAAGTGCTCCATGTCTGTGCAAAAGCAATGACTGTATGTGGACACAGGCAGCAGTGGCCATTGCCTGGTATTTTCACCCCGTGAAGTTACTTAGCTTTGTGCCAAAGGTCTTTGGCAATTTAAAGGCTAGCATTGCTTCCCCTAACACTCTTTTCAAAATTAATCATTTAACTTGCAGGTGTTAGCCTGGTATTTGTTAAAATAGTCATCAAAGTCAGTTTAGGTAAGATATATTCTGTATTGCCTTTAAAGGTAATAATGATGCTTTATTTAAAAACAAAAGAAGATAGATATATAATAGTTGTTGGTTTTGAGGCTCTTTCTCCCTTCCTTCCCTCATTGAAGAGAATCCCTGTCATTTTTCTTTCTCCAAAAAGAGATTTTGTGAAAACCTTAACTTGAAATTACTTTGTATTCACAAAGGCTAGGCAAATTTTCACCATGGTGAGTCATAACCACAGGCTTGGAAGCCTTCTCCAAAGAGAACTAATCCAAGACAGAACTCCCAGGGCCTTTGAAAATAGCTAGATTTGATAAGCTACGCGTGATCATAGATATTTAATATTTTCCTAGCTGTGTGCATGGGTAACTTGCTTATGAACACACATTCCTATCTAAATGTTTAGATTGATGATGTGCATGTGGTAAATGAATTTAATAATCTTAGTTATGTCGTAGTTATTGTTTGTTTGAAATGGTGTTATGTTAATTATTGTACAGAAATCCTAAATTGCTTACGTATGTGACAAAATTTGTAGTGATCAGAATATATCTGACAGTAATTTATCACTAACGTATTATTAACTTACTATAAGGTCATGAAAACACGTTTTTCTAGTTTGTTAATTGTAGCATGCGTGCTAACTGATTTTTTTTCCTAATACATTTTAACACCTGAACTCAATGTAATTATTATTCTCTCTTAGAACTTAATGCAACAGTCATTCCAAAAAAGAGGGGGGGATTGCATTTCGAGGTGGGAGGGATCCCCATATTACACCGGCAGTGATACCAATTATCAGTACTGTACAGTCGAGGTGAGAGAATATTATAATTAATTCTCTATCATTTTAATCTGATTTTTATTTTATTACATTATTGGGGGCTCAGTTAAAATGTGATCTCTTTATTTTTATGACATCTAATTTTATATGTCTGTATGGTGATAACATAAATATTTTAAATTTGTTAAAAATGTTTTGTATAATCAATCATTCTCTCTTCCAGAAAATATAGGACAAAAAAAAAAATCTTTCTTGAGCTTGGTTCTCATGTATGGTTTCAAAGATCTGGGGCAGTTTCTGCTTTAGGGTATAAGGTTGCTTCTAACTGATATGAGGTCCTTTTTTCCACTTAAACTTGTAAATCATATTTACTGTTGTTCTGTGCTCTCTGTGACCCAGAACACCACTGAGATGGGCAAGCATAGGTCTGGGATGAAAGAGGCTACGCCTACCATGGCTCTGAGATGCTTTCTGTGATGTCTCAGGCCATGTCCTGACCTTGTCCTTAAGTCTTACTCTCCTGGCTGATCCAAGGTCATATATGCTTAGCTCTGGGACAAACTCCAAAGACCTCTATTCTCTGAAATGCTAGTGACATATGTGTTTACATAGTCACTAAATCATAGATTTCTGAAACCATCAGATTTATCGTACTTTTGTTAGAAAATTTTCTGCTTAGATAACGTCATTGTCTGTATTAGTTAGAGCACAGGCCTTATGTTAATTTCTCCTCACATTATTATATTTCAGTGAAAATTACCCTGTGCAAACGTATTGTGAAACCATAGATGAAAAGTCTCTGTTCAGGATGGTGTTATTATAAGAAGTATTGAAATCATTTTAATTATTCAAATCTAAAGCGTTTTTACTATAATGACTGTAGAGAAGGCTTTAATACAGGAAATTTGCCTTCAAAACCCCCCTGAGACTGTTTGATCCCCTTTGTAGTCAGCCTTGTTTTAATGAGGATAATAATATAGAAAGAAATGGGATGATCGTAACCAACTGGTTTCTGAAATTTTGATTTTGGCTACCTATAGAATACAGCTAGGCTAGAGCTGCCCTGTCACTAACATAAACTGTGGCTCTGAACACACACTGAAGTGTTTGTCTGAGGATGTGTGGTCATGAGATCAGGCAGTGGCGGTGTGAAAGTGGAAATTCTGTGAGCAGAGCCATGGCATCGGAGCATTAGGGTACCAAAGGCCTTTGAGGAGAGACAAAGATTGCCATCAAGTAGAAGACAATGTTCTAGTTCTCGGTACTCAATGAATGAAGCCCCAAACGTAGTACGAGGAACAAGGAGGGGAGAGCAGATGTGGTCAAATGAAAGGAAACATAGAAACATCCCTGCATACCTGACAGACAGAAGTAGGAGTAAGGAGTTGCCCGGTCATCCATAATCCAGACAGAGGCTCATAGTGCTTTCTCTGCCCTGAAGATGGAAGGAGTTATAACTCAGAGCCAGAGCACAAGCCAGAGAGGACAGCCTCAGATGGGCCACAGTGGCCAGCGCTTGTCGGCAGTGTTTCCAAGACAGGAGAGGTGACAGGACAGTTAGGTCAACAGTCACTGAATCATTAGACCATGACATGGTGCTGATAACCTGGCTAATGCAAGAATTCATAGGAGACTTCTCTGCTTTCATTAGATTGTCATGCAGTATATCAATTAAATAACATTTTAGAGATAAATACGATAGTTGGAGGGCATCTACTGCACACAGCACTTCCATATATCATTCTCACACCTTTCCTGTGAGGTAGGTATTAGTATCTCAGGGCTAGAGATTGAGACCCAGAGGCTCAGAGAGGTTGCCTGCACTGCTCAGGTTGCGCAGCTAGTCAATAGCAAAGTCAAGATGTTAACCAAGCCTTGCCAGATGAAGAACACATGTGGTAAGAGCATCCAGGGAACAGACTGTCTTGGTACTCTGGATTTCTGATTGATTGAGCTCTTTGATGTTCAACATGGAGATAGAATATTAAATACATTATCAAGAATGTCTTTATAATTGTATAAACATCCTTCCCATTTTACACGACTAGTAAAAAATAGGGTTGATTATAAGAAGTATAGTTTTTTTGTATGCCTAATTCCTTGAAAGTTTACACAATGAATTGTAGTCTTTGGGGCCTTAACTCTACTTGGCGTTAAATTTTCTAATAAATTATTTTATTTTATTAAATTAAATTATTTTAATTTATTAGAATCATTATAAATTCATTTTAATTCTTTTATAAATCATTTTAATTCTTTTATAATATATGATCTTTGAAGATAAATGAGATTATAGCACTTAGTTTCCAAAAGAAAAAAAAAAAGCAAAAAGGAAAAACTTTCCATGTTCCTTCATAAGTGCTACATCATGGCTGGAGGTTGGGATGTAATGAGAAATTGGCATACAGTCTAGCTGACCCTGAACTGCCTCTTCCGGATGACAACGTGGAAGCAGCACCTAGTATATGTCTTAGGCTCCAGGATCAGCTCCAAGCTTCTCTGAACTGCAGAGAGATCTTTGTAATCAGTGGGTGCTGAGAATTGGACATGAGCTCAGGAGTTCCATTAATGTTCCCTCACCCGCTTTACTTGCGACCTGGGTTAGCAGTTACTGCACAGTTTCAGGAAGCAGCTGTTCCTGAGGTCTACCAGCACCTTGAGACGCGTGGCCTGTGTCGAGATCCCCAGGCATTCAGTGACTCTGACATGTATGTGACCAATTCAGAGTTTTCAAATTCAGCTCACGTCTCCAGTGCCGTTGTTTCTCTTGTCCCCTTGACTTTGCCACCCTTCCATGTTCCTAGTGTTGCTTAGCAGTAGGATGCAGAATGCTTTGAAGACATCATTTGTCCTCCTGCAAGGAGCACCTCGAAATCGCCAGTGTTTTCTTGCTTTTCTGTCTTTACCCACCGTCATGACAGGAGATAAGGCCAGTTCATCCTATTGTGTCTCTTCTTCATCAGTTACATTGATATATTCATCAGTCCAGCTGTGTACCAATTAGTCTGTGGATTCTCAAGCAGCCTGAGATCAGGACCTGAACTCTGAGAACAGACCTTTATGCATTTGGAACCTTTTTACTGAAAGAGTCTCAGGCTAGACTGCACTATTCAAATGTTTGTTTCAGTAAAACTGGATCAAAGGATACAGCGAAGCAGATAAAGCAAGCATCCCTCTTCCTCCTCCCATTCACAAGCCAGCCAGGGAGCAGAGACCACAACAGCCTTTGTTTTACTCAAGTCACATGCTACTTTTTTAGACAAAGACTTGAATGTGAATTTATGGATAATTCTTGTTAGCTTTGACCACTGTCTACATTCAAATCAATTGCCCACCAAGACTAGCTCTGTCTCTGGCTACAAAATGGTGCTTCCCTAAAAGCAGTTGCCCATATTAAGGCTTTCCTGAAACTATTTTAAGAGAGCTTTGATTTTCACTGATTGCAAGTTTGACTGAAGCATATACAGGTACACACACACACACACATTCTACTAAGCATACACAGGTACACATGCATGCATTCTATCGAGCATGCACAGGTACACATGCATACGTTCTAGAAAAATATAACGTGTAAAATTTCTGTTCTATAATCTCAGAATAATAAATTTTACATTATTATATATGACCCTTTCATTGTATAAAAACAAATATCATTGCAGTGTTTTAAAATGAAAAACCCTGTGTTGTTTGCAGTGGTACAGAATAGTAATTATAATACTTAAGATGTAGCATTTAATATAAAAATTACAAAACAGAAAAGTTAAGATTTTAAATAGTCATAAGAGAACAGCTAAACTCTGAAGTGGAAAGTAATATATAATTATATCTCTTAGCATCTTGATATCTATGCTAGAAAATATATCATGTGTTTGGTACTTTCTCTGGCAAAGAAAAGCAATTAGCAAATCTGTAATGGTTGTGTTATACAATAGTCACAGAGGTGGGTGCATTGCCAGTTGCTGGTTGGATACAGAATGACAGGTACAAAACAGGCACCACTTTTTTTTGGGAATCTGCAGCTTGATAGGAACAGCAGAAACACAGGTGGCTTTTAGGGGTCAGAGCTACAATCAAGTGAGAGGGAGTTCTATGAGACAGAGTTGTGGACTCACTGGGGATACTTAAAGAGGTAGAATTCTGGCTCCTGAAGCATATCTAGGAGTTAGACAGGTGGGCTGGGAGTAGTCAGTATTGCCTGAGACCCATCCTCAGCAAAAGAGAACCACAAAGGAACTTGTGTCCTTAGAAACCCCATGTCCAATCAGAAATGAAACCTGTTTCTTTAAGTGCCTGGGAATAAAATCGCATAGAGGCTTTCAAAAAAAAAAAAAAAAACCCTGCTTCCTAGGTACCTTTCCTTGGCATTCAGACAAGGAGGAATGGCTGAGGAAATCACAGATTCGAAGACTTCCAGATAATAGTAATTCACACTTGGTCATTATGTGAGAACCAGATTTCAAACCAGATTGAAATTAGACTCAGATGTGTTCACTCCCTGACTTTCCATTCATTCCTTTACAAATGATGAACACACAGCATTTGCGAGCATTTTATTTAGAAAACAGACATAATGATGTCCCCCAGCAAAATGGCAATTCATTCATTCATGGAATGCCTCTTGTAGGCCAGGCATTGTTCTGTGTTTTGGGGACTTAGAAGGGAGCTAAAAGATATCTCCCTACTCTCCCAACCCTCCCCAAAGAAAGTTTAAAGGAAGAAAAGCCTTATATTAGGAAAATATAAGTAAAGCATGCAAGCCACAGATAGGGAATTGCTAGTAATAATCATGTTTATGTAGTTAACTAGGATCATAATATGAAATTGAATAATGTATTCAGTTATAATGAAGCCTGATTACCTTAATGTAAGCAAAATGTCTCATTTAAAACAAAACAAGTGATATATAAACAGCCCTGCAATTAGTAAATGTGCAATTTATTTGTCTCACTGGAAAATGCCCTGGGAAAAGGCAACCATAAACCAACGTCCTTTATGCGTCCTTGGAACAATTATATCTATTAGTCATTGTTACAGGGATGTACTCAGTATCAGTTACACCAGTTACACAGTTAGACATTATCCAGTTAGTACTGGAGAGAACATAAGGGCTACTTCAAATATCAGTGTATCAGTTACCATCTTTGAGATCCTCTGAGCCCTCTGCAGGACAGCTCTGGGAATGCAGGAGTGGCCATGGTCACAAGTGCAATTTCCTGAGGGTTAGTGGCGAACAGTAACAAGCCCCAAACACAAGGTGCTCATGGTTTGTAACAGCTACGTTTCATCCATATATTGGTTTTCACTGTATTTTATTTGATGAGATTTATCGAGCCTGAGTTTTATTGGCCTACTGTTGTTGTTTTGTCAAGTCAGAATATATTTCTTCATCCGAATGACTTTATGAATTCAGCCGTTGCCTTAAAGTAATTATTATAGTGTACAATGACATAAACATTTCAGTAACTTTCTGAAATAGGTACTAAATGGGCTTTCTGGGAACCCATTTTAATTCACAGAAATGGAATGCAGAGAGGAAAAATGTTAACTAGCTCCCAGTCTTTTAGATCTCTGCTAAATTTCTAATAATTCTTTTATCTAGTTACAGCACTGGTCTGAATGGCTTTGCATGTATTACATCTAATTGTGTGGAACAGAGTACAGATTTGATTAGTATATTCCTGGACAGATGTTGAAATATAATGTGTGATCACCATGCAGGACTGCCCCTTTCATGGTGCTGACCTGGCCTCCAGGATACAAAGAGGCATCCTGCAGTCAGCTGCTGTTCACGGAACTGCTGAAAGACAGAAGCCCCTGGGCCCAGTTTTAGATATGAATGATGGTTTTTGATAGTGTAACACATGAACAGTTTCTTATAGCCTGAGGGTACCTGCTTTGGACAGGGATAGGTTGGAGGGTGGAGGTGAAGGTCTTATTTTAGGCGACTTCATCTTTCAAGAGCCATGCACCTGTCAAAGTAGCTAAGCTTGGTATTCAGAATCACATGCTTAGACGCCTAGGTATTTTAGCTTGAAAATATCACTGTGAGCTACGCTATAAATAAATTCTTTCTAGTGAATCAAAGTACACATTAAATATTCTATTGTTCATAGTCTTCCTAGTACAAATGTGTGTGCGGTGCACAGCTATCATGTAGAATGCATGCTCAACCCTGCTGCAGAAGACTTTTGGGATCTAACACTTATTTTTATGAAAGAATGTCATTTACACTTTTAGCATACCTGGCTTTTCTCTATTAAATACAGTAGCACCACCCCAGTGTGACAAAGGTATGCAGATATTGCCACATGTCTGAGGGAGGTAGAATCACCCAGAATGAGAACCACTTTTTGTGTAGAAGGGTCTAAACTGTTTTATTCCTCTGCATGCACGATGTCATAGCAATATTATGGAAATGACATTTTATTTTGTAATTTGTTTGACTTCATGTTATACTAATAATTTGTATATTCTTTGTTGCATAAAGTTTTATTGCAAAGCTTTCTGGAGTCTTTCCTATACTCTAGCATCTTATAACTTCTTATCAGAGAGAGGAATTGGCAGCACTTTAATATAATATTGTCATAGTATAAAACTGTTCAGTAGATCTATTTCTTACTATCAGAACTGTTAAAAATTACCTTTAAGTACAGGTACCATTTTTCCATGAGAGGGAAAGCGAAAGAAAACCTTAGAGATATACATACATACTACACACACACACAAACATATAGAGAGAATAATTTTTACACAAAGCACTAAATTTTAAAACTTAAATTTATTGAAAACCTATAATCAGTAAAACTGTAAATTGTGTCTTGTTACCCCAGACAAACTCTTAAAATAGATTTCAGCAGACTATTGAAGATTAGATCTATTCTTTGACATTCTGATTTGCATATCAAAAAGTAACATAAGTCTTCATCTGTCGAAGTATTTCCGTCATAAATCCTGTCTACTGACAGCCCATCCTATGCTGCCAGGTGTAATTCTTGAATAATTCTGTGGCTTTTCCTGGGAAGTGTTCTATTTCAGTCTTCACATGCTAGACTTTTCTCTTTCTAGTGAGGCTTAGTCCATTGCCGAATGCCTCCCAAGGATGTGATGGGCTCATAGAATCTTGACCATTGCTTCTGAGAAACCCACATCAAGTCACCAGGCCAAATGCTATCTCCTCTTCACCCAAAAGACAGTGTAATCTTTGCCCCTCACAACCCACAAGATGTGCTAACTGTGCACTGGCCAGGGGACTCAGTGATGCTCCAGGACTCCTGTGCCTGCTCCAGACGATAGGGCCCTTGTATCCTGTTAACACTTGTGAGCAGACCTTTCGAGTGTATCTGTAGTTACAAAATGTATATTTCAGAAAAGTTTCTAGGAATGAGTTAGGACAAAGGTGGAGGATGGGTGACGACAAGCAAGTGTCTGCACTGATGTATTCAGGACAAAACCCCAATTTTAGATGCAAATCTTCTGAAACCCTCTGCAAGTTCATCTGCTAGATTTTAGGAAAAACGTGACCTAGCGAATTTCTCTTTTCTAAAACCTCTTAGACTAAATTCAGAACAGAATTAAATGGAAGTGAAGGAAGGAAGAATGAGTGACATATGAAAAATAAATGGTAGTTGTATAAAGTAGGGTATCAACTTGGAAGCAAGGCCTACAATTAAATTTCGCTTTCTATTTTACTTTTCAGCCAATGTTTTCAGTTGCACCAAGCTTAGCCACCAATGCATCAGCAGCCTTTAATCCCTACCTGGGGCCTGTTTCCCCAAGCCTGGTTCCAGCAGAAATCTTGCCTACTGCACCAATGTTGGTCACGGGGAATCCTGGAGTTCCAGTGCCGGCTGCCGCTGCAGCTGCTGCACAGAAATTAATGCGGACAGATAGACTCGAGGTAAGACCAAGAATTGCATCTGCATAGTTTCCATGACAGTTCTTAAGTAGTATGGCCAGAAATGACTTTAAACGCTGAAAGCAATGATTTTCCTTCAGTATTTGTAGCATTTAGTTAAACCGGAGTTCTGCTGTTTTGAGTAATGGAATTTTATAAAAGCTACTCTTCTGTGTTTAGGCTACTAGGTGAAGACTGGAACTGGGCTTGGGGTGCCTGTTACTTCCTTATGCCATCAGTTTCTTTGAAATATATCACAGTTGCTTCTTGAATGTTTATTGCTGTGGCATTGTAGCAATCAAAAATTAGAAATGATTGATGCCCTCAGGAGCTCACAGACACGGAAGGCGTTGGCTACCGTACATGAGACATCCTAAAACTCACTGCAGATGTTCCCATAAGCTCTGGAATACATCCGTTGAGACAGTAAGGCCGTTTTGTGGAACGTGCCCTTACGAGAGCCTTTTAGGAAAACGTCACTTGGCTGTCATAGGTGGAACGTGAACAGATGCCCAGGCTTTGCTGTTGCTGACCGAAGAGGAAATTGAAGTTATACATCCAAATTTGAAATTAGCACGCAGAGTTCCAGCATGTCATGAATTAACAGGCTTGGTAGACTGCAGGAAAATGGCCTCTGAGTAAGGCACAGATCTGCATCCAACAGCCTTCCCTGCCTGTCTGCATAGAGGGGACTCTGGGCTGAAAAGTCCTGCGTGGACTAATTAAGGAGAAAGCAACAAAGTCAGGCGTACGTGAAGGCAGTTGAGTCTAATAACTAGTGAAGTTAGCAGAAGTATAGTAAGTGTTAATATCTTACTTATTCGTTAAAGCTTTTGGGATGTATTAGAAAGAGTATCAGATCACAGCATTTTTGTCAGGATGTCCCCCCTGACACAGACATCACTCCTTCTAGCCTTAGAACAATCTGATGGAAAGACACTGTTATTACCACTGTTTCCTAGGGAGGTAAGTCGGGGTAGGAAAGAGATGCCATGTAGCCTGTCCTTGCCATAGGGATACACTCTGCTGTTTGGCTTCTCGTTACACAAGTGCAGCAGTTTTCTTCTTAATGCTGTCTGCAAGTGCAATACAACAGCATTTGCATCAGCTTTATTCCCCTGGTCTTTGTAAAGCAAACCGAAAATTCTTAATGCATGATTGTTATTGACTAATGAGACTCAAATCATCTGAGAGAAATGTCAGTCTATTAATGATTAATATGTAATAATATTCAAAACACTGAAAAATGGTCTTAAAAAAACTCAGCTACGTTTTCAAACTCTATTTTTTTCCCTTAAAATTTTAGGTAGTTTTTTTGTAGTTGTATTTTGTGATTTAGTTTTCTTCCTTATGAAGAGCTGCTGTGTTTTGTCATTTGCCTTTGCTACTGCTAGAACAATCTCTCCTTCTGCATACGGGCGTTCCTGATAGCAGTGAGCATGCCGTCCCTTCTGTTGCCAGCATCTGAGTCATTGTCACAGTCACAGGGCCTGCAGTGGGAGACATGCATGTGCCTCTGCTCTGCAGTGATTCAGGGCTCCCCCAACCCCCAGCACCTCCAGAGCTGGAGCACTGGAGGGAGAAAGACATGGAAGGAGTGCCCACAACTCTTTTCAATCACAGTTGACACCAGTGATTACTTAGAGCTTAAAGTCGTGTTCTACAATAAAATATTTTGGATTTTTATTTCTTCTGAGTTAAAATTGGTCTAAAACAGTTAGGATCTTGGCTTAGTTCTTCTTGCTACATCTTTTCCTCCTTGTCTCTAATCGACACACAATAAAGAGATTTCAAATTACTTAGAAGTACTAGTGTTGACCAGATTGGATGCAGAGGTCTGAAGGTAGAAAATAGAAACCCGGTAACCACTGCTTGTAGGGTAGTTAACTACTTAAGCTTGGTTTGTCACATTGACTTCATGTTGCTTATATGTAAAATGAGATTTGCACTGGTTTATTTTATCTTTAATGTCACAGCACATTTAAAACATTCTTTGTCTTTCAACAGCAACCAAAAGAGGTGTTAAAACATTTATTTTTAAGTATGTGTGTGTGTGTGTGTGTGTGTGTTATGTACACATCACAGATACGTAGCATTTGTATCAATATACTCATCCATTCTTTGCTGGATATTTTTACAAAGATTATATGTTCTGTACTATACACTCAAGTTGTGGTTTTCTCTTAAAGTGAGGCCAGTTTGTTAGTCACTAAAAATATGCTCCTAAAATTCTGCTTTGTGGTCTTTGGATTCTTTCTGTAATTCCCAGCATCATTTTAATGCTTAAAAAGTATTTAGAGAAATTATTACAGTGTGTACAGGTATTAGAAATGGCTAACTAAGACTTAAGGTCATATGTGTGCTTCATTACAAAGCATTGATAATAATGGAAATCATTGATTAGTCTAAAGAATCATAGTAAGCTTTCATTCTGCAAAATGGATCCACAGATTCATTTATGCTACCATATCCAGTTGAGAACTATACCAGGTGTCCTTCAAGTTAAAGTTCTGTTTTGGATACCTGTGAAGCCTTTACTTGCTGTTGTCTGTTACCAAGAAAGGACCCTCGTAAGACTAGTAATGCTCATGTAACTTCTACCCTTAGAAGTCAACTCGCCAACCTGCTATGAATTTAACTAGACACAGAAAAACACATTCCCTCACAGAGATTGTATTCATGATAGCTGATTAGATATAACAACTTTGAGGAAAAGTTTAAATATTTGTTGACCTTTTTGGGGGGACACGTTTAGGTTTTGACCATTCCAATTAGAAAACGTGTTGTCTTGGTTGTGCTATTAGACATGGTGCAGTTTATTTACCAACTTAACAGAAACTAGGATCACTGGGGGTGGTAGTTTAAATCTGGCAGTCTCGTTCATGTAGACTTGCTAGTCTGGTAGTGGGTTTCAGGAATTTTTTTTTCACTCATCAGACAACTGACTAGCCTTCAGAATATTTGTTTTATAACTCTCAACTTTGCACCCCTTCAAGTGTTATTATTCGTGACTCTGAACTGAAGATGTATTTCTAGTGTTCATAGTTTTATACAGACTGCTAAGTTGCAGTGAGCATTGCTCTCGGTATACTGAAGGACTTTAGACACAGTGACAGGAAAGCAGTTCCTACCACACAGTAGTAACCAAACACACCTCGGGGGCTGCATAGTTCAAAGACTTATTAAGACATTTCTTTGGATATTTTTTCTGGCTATTTTTTCCTGTTGACTATTTAAGGTTTGTAATTATCCTACAGAAGTTTTGTTAGAAATGGGATTTAGAATGGTTTTGGTGAGTATTGCAGTTGAAGTGCTGCTTTTCCTGCGTTATCCATTTCCTGTTACACTGTGTAGACCAACCTGGCCTCCGGTATCAGCTCTGCTTTGATGTACACAGAGTAAGAAACGCTGTGTTCAATTTTGAGTGAATCCTATTTTGTGTATGGCTTAGTATATCTCATTATTTTAATTTAGGTTTGAGAAACATTTATCAATACCCCAAATTTTTTTACCAACAAATTTTGTTTCTACATATTCATGTTAGAAAATTAGGAAATTAGCCAAAATGCCTATTGTTGTATTTCTTTTGCAAAATTGTTTGTAATATGAAAATGATGGAAATAATCTACATATCCACTTAAGAGTCATCCATAGTCTGTGCACTATTTAATATCTGATGTGCAATCAGAAATGATGATTTGGACCTCACATAGGAAGATGAAAATGTTGACGCTGTTATGGCTATGTTTTCTGAAAAAGGTACCAAGTTGTCGCTAAACTGTGATCATCCTCATATTAAAATGTGTGCAAACAGGAAATTACACAGAAGGAAAATGGAGTCAGAATATTGCTCGGATATTTTTTTATTTAATTTTGTCTTCTCTGCTGCTAATTTGCTGTTAAATTTTATAAGTTCCCATCCTGTTTTGGAATGTGAGATTAAATCTGTTGCAAATTTTGTCAACTTTAGTTTACCAAGATAAACTACATCTCAACGTTTTGTTTTAATGAGGTTGGTAAACCTAGTCAGAGGTTTTCTCCAATTTTCAGAGAAAGGAACAAAGCAAACCCATATTGAGCAGTCATCGCTAGACCCCATTTTCCTGGTGGTGACTGTGAGGAGGAAATGTGTTGGAAAGTTGTTCCCGTGCAGTGCCCAGCATTCAAGAGTTTGTCTGTCCGCCAAACCTTCCCCACCGGCTCTCGGCAGCCCAACTCTCAGAAGGTTTCTCCTTCACGGTTCCCCTGAACAGCAAACTAACGTGAGGGCAGCAGTTTGTGTGCTCTTCCACGTCCGTCCCCATCCAGGTCAGAACAAAACACTGGAAAAACATGTGTAAGTCCAAAATGCAGCAAAAAAAAAAAAAAAAAAAAAAAAAACCTTTCATTTTCAAAACTTTAAAATTTACTGTAAAACTCTGCTTCTTTTTTCTCTGATCAAGCATTTGTACAACTCTCCCTGCTTGCATTCCACAAAAAAAAAATGAAGTGTGAAATTATAGTCAAGCAGTCTTTAACCTATAGAAAGCATACATGCACCAATGGCACTGACCTTCCTGCCAGTGTGGCAAATGTGAAACATAGTGTCAGGTCTTTGCCTTCAGTTCTCACCTAGGCAGACTTGGGAAAGAGGAAATGGTTGAGAACTGGCTGGAGAGAGCGCATATGGGCCCATCTAAGCTTCCTCTTGGATGAATTGCTTAAGCACAAAAGTGACCTTTGTTCTTCATAACATGGCGTTATAAACATAAAACATAATATGTATTCTACGGGTAGGCTCACTCATTACATTGTAATTTTTTTTTCAGAGTATCTCTTTTGCTGGCTTCAGTGATAAGCTTGTAGTTTTTAACAGGCTCCAGGAACCTGTGCTCTGAAGGCCCCACCACTTCCTCTTGTAGTCCCCTAGAGAAGGGGAGTGCCCTGAAACACAGCTTGGCCACATTTGCTTTCTAAATTGTAAACTCGTGGCTACACTTGAGTTTCCTTGGTTCTGTTCAAGAAGGTGAATATAGTACTAAAACAGCCTTTCGAAGCTTCCTAAATCATCTGTACCCTTAGTTACTCAATATGCTTAAAAAATCGAATAAAGTAAGAAGGTGAGTGGTGCTAGCCCATTGCTGTGCTGTAGAACACACGTCTTTTCCTAGCTGCGAGTTTCCCGGTAGTCATTTCCAGCATGCTTCTTAATATTCAGCCAAACCCAGGTTCTTAGTATGAGCTGCTTTCCATCCTAATAGGATCTGAACATAATAGGGACTGGTTTAAATGCAGTCGTTTTTATGAGTCCCTTTAAAGTCCCAGCATCTCAGTCCTGTTTAACTGTGAAACAGAGTGTTCAGTGTCTGCATTCGCCCAGTTGGGGGAGGGGACATGCTGGAAGTAGGAAAACTGTCTTTGAAGTGTGCATTGTTTTAAAAAAAAAAAAAAATACCGAGGTTTGAAGCTAGGGCACACAATGAAGTCAAGCCGTTGGGTGTTTTAGATGGCCCTCTGCTGGTCAAAAGATCAAACTCCCAAAGGGAGACTTGGAAACTTCAATGAGACTCAAAGAGCAAGCAAATAAGAAATAGTGTATTTTACCTCTTCCCCAGGATCCCCACACTGAAGTTAACAGTCATAAACCAAGTAGGCAGTAACACAAGTGAATCTTCCTCCCTCTGCTCATACTGATGCTGAATGCATTTTCAGTGCTCAGAAGTGACTTCTGGAAACACTTGATAGAAATGCCGTCCAGTTAGAGTGCTTTGTGTTTTCACTCAGAGCTAATGTCTGTTTACCCAAATTCTTGCTGCCTGACATTCACTAAACTAAATATTTTAACATTTTAAACAACTCCAGTACCACTTATAAATCTCATAATTTAACTTTGGTTTACTGTGAATCAAGTGACCTGTATACCTGAATCTGATTTAATTTAAATTTTTATTGCTTTTATTTATATATATATATATATATATATATATATATATGTCTACTCACTTGCATGCCACACAATGTATATGAAGATCAAAGGGCAGTTTTTAGGGGTCAGTTCTCTCCTTCTACCCTGTGGGTTCCAGGGATCAAGCTCAAGTTGTCAGGTGGGGTAGCTCTCATTGGCTGTATCAGACATAAGCAACTGTCCTTCCAGCATCCTTGCTCTGGCTCCATGATGTCCAGTCTACCACATCTTCTTAATCTTTCTTATTTTAACAACCTTGACACTTTAAAAGAATGTTATTTTTGCAAAATACTTCCCATTCAGTGTGTCTAGTATTTACCAATCAGCAACGATACAAACACCATGTGTGATAGGGCTTTTTGGGGAGGGGAGTAGGGAAGTCACATTAATACAATGGTGCTCCTGTGTCTCATTCGTTCTTAATATTCATGTGCTCACCTGGTGAAAGTGGTGTCGGCTGGCTTTCTTCACTCTAAAGTCCACATTTTCCCCTTGGTAATGAATAAGTACAGCAACACTGTGCTGGAATAGATCGCTCATGCTTTCCATTCATCATGAACGTGTTTCCTTTCTCAAGGACATTTCGCCAGAAAGATTCCGTATTTGCATACTAAGCACTGCCGAATCACGCTGCGGCATTGCTCCAGTTTACCTTCCCCCCTCCATGTACCCCCTTGGCCCCCAGAGTGGGTCGTTGAAAAATCGTCTTCAGAAAGGACCTGCTTGCTCACGTTGACGGAATCCCATTCGTTTCATGACCTCATAGGTGTGTCGAGAGTACCAGAGAGGTAACTGCAACCGAGGAGAAAATGATTGTCGGTTTGCTCACCCTGCTGACAGCACCATGATTGACACCAATGACAACACAGTCACCGTCTGCATGGATTACATCAAAGGGAGATGCTCTCGGGAAAAGTGCAAATACTTTCACCCTCCTGCACACCTGCAAGCCAAGATCAAGGCTGCCCAATACCAGGTCAACCAGGCTGCAGCAGCACAGGCTGCAGCCACTGCCGCTGCCATGGTGAGTAGAGAGAGCAGTGCCCTCCTCGTCTGAAGTCGGAACGATATTGAACAGTTTGTCTACTACAAGCTCTTCATCTATTAACCTCTTTGTTATGTTTTGCTGAAGATATGTTTGTTCAGGTATCCCACACAATACATAAAGAAGCTGCCCTTCACAGAAGTGAGGGTAACTCCTCAGATGGTTCAGATTGTTCCTCCTCTTGGCCTAACCCCTAAGGATCTGTCTTATTCTTGCTGTAGGGTTTCTGACATTCCTGCTTCATAAAGAGCCACATGTCTCCTCTTTGACATAACAACCCTGCCATCTCCAGTCTCTGTACATCATCGACCAGCCGTTGTTCTCCTTGGGTGTGTTCTTTTGCACATCAGAGCTCTTCTTTACCTTTATCTTGCTTTTAATAACATAATCTGGAACTATTTAGGAGAATCACTTTGACAAAATTGTTTTTAAATTAGCTGCAACATTTTGCATAGCCTGCCATCTAGATAGTGTGAAGGCCTACTGTGGCATAAACACGATTGTTCAAGAGCCAGGTCTTGACTAAGCCATTATACATGAAGGAAAAAGAAACTGCGCTACTCAAGGAGTTAAAAATCAGGTCATTTAGAATAGATACTAAATGCTTTTTCTTAAGATAAACTTCAGTATGACCTAGTAGCGGAGTTTAAGGGGTCCATTTCTTGGCTTAGCTGTTTTAATGCTATCCTTTCTTACATATAAAATATATAGCTTTTTAAAATAGTCATAAAAATCATTGTCACTACACCATAAAATGAGAGAGGTCTTTTCTGTGTTTGTTTATGGATACTTGAGCAAAAATACAGAAAGCAGACTCTCTCCTTTTCTCTTTCTTTCACTCCCTTTTTTTTCTTTAGAGTATTGTTTGTAATTAACTACAAAGAGGAATTATCCTCCAATAACAACTCAATAGTGCCTCTATTGTGCATGCTTAGTCTTGTTATTCGTTGTATATGGCATTCCGATGATTTGTTTTTTTATTTGTTTTTTCTCACCTACCCAAAATGCACTGCTGCCCCCATGATGCACCTCTGCTTGCTGTTTATGTTAATGCGCTTGAACCCCACTGGCCCATTGCCATCATGTGCTCGCTGCCTGCTAATTAAGACTCAGTCGGCTGTCAAATCACTGAAGCGACCCCTCGAGGCAACCTTTGACCTGGTACTATGACCTTTCACCTTTTAGCTTGGCATGTAGCTTTATTGTAGATACAAGGTTTTTTGTTTCTTAGTTTTTTTTGTTTTGTTTTGTTTTTGTTTTTAACCAATTAAAAAATATATATATATATAATCCTTTTCCTGTTTAAAATGGTAAAGTGCAATGAAAAACTGAGTGTGGTTTCTTGAAAAATGAGCAGAAAGACTTAAAATGTGTCCATAGACGGCTATGGTACAGTGAAAGACTGGAATCCCAGCAGCCCACATTCAGTTTAACTACATTGTAAAGCGTTCTAATGAAATACTCGGAGGACAGTAAAGTGTGGTTTTCACTGTATATTTATTTATTTCTGTACCTGTGTGGTTAGCATGGCTTTAGTGGTAGAATTCTTACATTCTAACCTGTAGAGTGCAGTATTGGAGGAGAGTTTGCATGCTCTGGGACGTGTGCATGTGTCAGAGGACTGGGGTGGGCAGAGCTGGCTGGAGGTCGTGTCCCCGCCAGTCGCTGTATGGTGACCTCCTCACAGTGCTTCCACTCCTCGGCCCTCATGGAGCTCGCACTGCCCCTTTCCTTCTTCCCCAAATCAACAACGGCTTCTCACGGAAAGCCTGAAGCATTATGGGACATAAAACACCTTCCTCATGATAACATCTGCTCTCGTTACTAGTGGGCTTTCGTTGTGGACGAAATAATGCTTCCTTTAAAGCTTTTATCTTGCTTAATTTCCTTAATTGGTTTTGTCGACTGGATTTTTCCCTGGGTAGTTAAATGCTCTGCTGCTTGCTTGCTCGTGCTCCCTAACAGTTTTAGCCTACAACTGATTTTTCTTTTTTTTTTTCTTTTTCTCTTTTTACTGGTATTTGTTTTTATACTCATTCACTAAACAGGGAATTCCTCAAGCTGTACTTCCCCCATTGCCAAAGAGGCCTGCTCTTGAAAAAACCAACGGTGCCACCGCAGTCTTTAACACTGGTATTTTCCAATACCAACAGGCCCTAGCCAACATGCAGTTACAGCAGCATACCGCCTTCCTCCCACCAGGTAAGGGCTTGGATTGGCCACGGAATGCGTTTCTGATGACCTGCTCAGGGTTCTCCTGTTAGAGCAGGTTAATCCCTGCAGCCCAGGTTAGCCGTTAAGTCGTAGAGAGGGTGTCATACGGTAAGGTAAGGTAGCCAGCTGGGGAAACACTCAGCTTTCATAAATGGCTTTCCTTTGAAACTGAAACTTGAGCTTACTGAGACAGAGATGTTTATATATTTGTGGGTGTTTATGATATTTGGAATTGAAATGTTCTCTTTTTTTCTCTTTCCTCAACACTGTTGTATGTTTGTCAAGCTGTGTTATGATGCTCTCTTGCTGTAAGACCCCTTTGCCTTCAAGACACCACAGTTTTATGAAATGACTCAATTTTGACATTTTCAACCATTAGTTTGCAAAATGGACCGAGGCAGTTAAAATGTATTCATCCTAGAGCTCTTAAGATGTGCTCTTCGTATTAATTATGCATTTCTAAAATTACTCTTGTTCCAATGCTGAAATTAAAGTCCAACTTCCCTTGGTGTTTGTATTTACTGCTTAGTCATCCCATGGTCTTCCTCTTTAGTGCTTAGTCATGCCTCTCTGGTTTCAGCTCCCTTTCAGGTTGCTCACACCCACATACTCTCATTCATAGAGATTTAAGGGTTAAAAACACTAATAACTCACTAAGTTTGTTAGAAATTTACTATTTCAACATGCTTAATTCTTTTATTTTGTACATTGCTTCACTTTTTATACACCTCATATTTTAAAATTAATTAACCAAGAGTATCAGTAATCTCTTTTTCCTATACATGGTTTTATTTCGAGAACACTTTGAATATATATATGCTACTTTTGATAAAATAGTTTATTACAAAATTAGTAAATTGATATCTAGGTATGTACATCATGGCTCTGGTGACAGTAAATAAATAAATAAGCCAGTGAACTGTTTTATTAAAATGCTCCAGGGTAAAATGGTGGCTGTACTCTTGAGATAGCATTCTTCAAGTGGGAGTTTGTCCAGCCAGATTAGGATAAAAATTAAATGACCTTCATCTATAACATATTCATTGATCTTAGGGAAGTTTTTACACTAAAGCACACAGTATCTCTCAGTTCCTTATATAGCATTGTTTGGAGACTTCCAGTGACTCATTGTCTTGCTTTTTGGTTAAGTTTCTGTGCTTCTAGATTTTTACTGTTTTCAATGAACAGTCGCTCAGTTTTATATAACCCTAAGCCAGGTTTGAAGGGATTATTAGAATACTTAAACAAATTAAAATTATATTTCTGTCATTTTTTCTATTGAATAAAATGTTACCCTTAAAATCATAGTTTCCCTATTTGAAATTTAAAAATGAAATAAATTATCTTCTTCCATGTGTTATGTAAGAGAACTTGAAATAGTACATCTTATCCGTTTTTTTTTTTTTTAATTTCTTACTAATATTCAAACATTTCCTCCTCCTCTAAATCACCGTGGCCAGCAGTTGTGTGTGGAGCGCAGTGAGACTCTGACAGTTTGACCCTTTACCAGCTTTGGGGTCTGTTTATAAACTAAACTAAACTGCAGGCTCGTGTTAGGGGCAGTAATTGGATCCATGCCTCAGAATCAGTTGCCCACTACTTTTGAAAGACATATTAGTAATTTAAAATATGCTTGAAATAGGTTGAAATTTTAAAGATATACTTGCATTTTATATGAATTTTTATATCAGAGATATTCTGATATCTTGATATTATATTTACCATTATACCATTATGTGAAACTATGATAGCAGGCATATAAAAGAATATATATTTGCAACCTGATCTGAAGGGCAAAAAGCCAGGTTGAGTTATTCGTTAGCCATATAACTAGAGATAAATGTTACCATCCTGACTTAAAAATAAAAATACTTCCATTATTTTACATATATATCAGCATGTACATGAAAAATGACCCTATGATATCTCTATTTCTGCCAAACCCCTTAGTCAGAAAGGTAGAAAATAAAGAATTTTTACGGGGAAAATAAACCTATACCCCAAAAGCCACACAGGGACCAAAACAAGTAGGAACTGTGGAGTCTGGAAAACTCTGGGAGTCCAGACCCAGCCTAAGGGGACTAGTTACTGTTTAGATTGCCTGGTAGGTGGTATCAAGGCCTCCTGATGGCCCATGTCCATCATGTTGTGTTTGTGAATGGGGTTGGTTGGTTCTCTGCTTCGTAGGGCTGACCAGACAAAGCTGCATAGACAAATACAGCACAGATTGCTATGGACAGCGGCTTTATTCAAATTTGGGGACATTTGTGTATTTACACACAAAATGAAAAATACTGGCAATTTTACTTTCTGAAATCTTGCTAGAACTAAAGAAAGTTGTTCTTACCATAGATTCATATACAGTCACATGTGTACTATCTTGGAGAAAATAGTCTTATTTCCCAAAGTCTAGGTTATACGTATAAAATAGAATTACATATAAGCGAAGCAGTCTCCTAATCACGGCATAATAATTAAGAAGATACACTATCATTTTCACAGCTGGGTTTTTTAGAGCCCTGTGGTTTGGTTGCTTCTTAGTAACTGTAGATAGGTGTGAGTCTGTTTCATTCAAATTGCAGGGAAGCACAGTTTGCTAAGTCCATAGAACCATCGACTACATACATAGGAACTAGTTTGTTGACAAAGGATCAGGGATTAGTGTCATGCTAGTCAGCTAGCAAGGACAAATACGCACATATTTAAGAACAGACCTGAACTTACATAGCATCCATCCACCTAATCTACCGTTCACGATTATATCCACCCATGTGTCTGTCTATCCAGGTATCATTCTCTCTTTAGCTCTCCGACCTCCCTTTCTCTGCATCCATCTTACCTTCTAATCAGTCAACACATGTTGATTATATGCCGTGCGGTATGCTAGTATTTACACTAGAGATTCCAAACTCCTGACTGCAGGGGGAAATGTAGTATCCAGAAATAGTTAGGGCACATGCTTTCCAGCCTTTCAGCCCCACAGCCCTCCTATTTATTTTCCATGTTTCGTCCCAAACAGCCACCATTGGTTGAGTAATGACTCCTTGCTGTGCTTGCCAAACAATACAGACCTATTTTCTCTTTTTTTCTCAGACCCAAGTCTGACTTGAATTTTCTATGTTACCAGTGAGTAATATGAGACCTAGTGAAGTCCAGCAATTTATCACCATATTACATGGCTCTCAGGGGAATTTCTCAATAGCTGTGTGTTAGCTATATAGTTACCTTAAAAAGAATTTTAGGAAACAGAACCAGCTTCACCAATCACTGAACTTCACATCTGTTTCACACCCTCTACCTAGTATATATAAATATTAAATTAAGTTCAGTATTGTTTATTTGTTTCAATTTTAACGACACATTAAAATTTTTTATTTTACCTTTACTCTTCAAAACTAAGCAGAATAATGACACAGACCAGGAATAATGTAAGGGGCCATTTATATAACAAAATGAATTTCAACCCTTTGATATGTTAGAAATAATATTTTCATTATTTTTGATTTTAGTTTTTAGCCTAGAATGTAAATCTAGGGCTGTTTTAATTTTTACTGGATCCCGAGAGAACTTTGAGGCCCTCCCTTGGCAGCTTCCTCCCTCTGTCCCCTACCCTCTACAGCCCAGATTCTCAAGTGTTCTGTTCCCATTCAGTCCCTGCCTCTCACTGTAAGCATTACCTAATTAGAGGACCTTGGGTAGACGTCTTCTCCAGGGGTCCTATGCCACCTAGACAATAAGAATCCTTGACTGAGCTCCTGAGTTCAGTAGACCTGCCTTAAGAGTATGTCAACACCAAGGAAAGAATGTGCCATGGGCTAACAATTCATGGCTCCAAAGATTTCTGTGTCCTCCCTCTTGAGTTTTCCATTATGTTTTTGTCTTCCACGGAAGCACCTATCACTTTTTTCTCCCTAGTATGTTTCAAGCAATATTAGTGAACAGCTTTTAAAAGAGCTAAACTCATTAACATAATTTTTTTTGTTGGCTCATATTGAGCTTATACCTGATATAAAGAAATGGCCAGGAAACTCTCTTAGATGGTGGTGTAGATGTTTGGTCCAGGAATGCAGGAAGATGAGACCATTTTTATAGAATAGATGCCACAAAAATCTCTAGTCTGCCACTTTTATTATAATCAATTTAAGTATATATATTTATAGTTTTATTTATGCTAAAAAGATTTATAAATAATGAAAAATAAGGAAGCTATTACATACTTGAATATCAAATTTGACAATTTAATTGACTGCAAGTTTTTAATAAATAATATTTTTAAATTTTAGAATACCACAAATTACCTTTGTACTCCTTACTATAAACTTAAATAAGTAAATATAGAAATTCCAATCAGATCTCCAGTTTTAACATTGTCTCTCTTCTTTTTATTTCTTTCTCCTTGATGCCTTTGTGACTATACCTGTATTTCACTTACAAATTGTCATCCCGACCTTTATATCCACATTTTAACTTAAAAAATAATGTGATTACAGTGACACATTTCTCAGAACCACACCATTCTGCTGCGCAAATGTCTTTGTAGGGAAAATTGGGAATTGACAAATTCTTAAATTCTGCCTTATGCTGAAAACTGAGGGAAAATTTAAATTGCCTCTTTGTGCATCGCTATGAGTAAATCAACCAATTGGAAGTAAAGATGTTTACTATGGTCATTTCAAAAATGGTTTTTGGTTATGGTAAGAGGGTCCTACAGCACTGTCTTCATACTTGTGAGTTTCTGCACCCCAGCTAGTATCTTCATCGCTGCCTTGTGTTTATTTGCTATGAATCCCTCTTGAAGCTGTGTGCATTGGTTACATTGATAATGAGGATGATAACCCAAAGAAAAATTCAATTATTAAAAAGCTAAATGCTTTAGAGAGGTGTGTGAGGTCACCTCACTTCCAGTGCGTGCAGGCTCAATTACGCATGAACTACTGTAGGCAAACTGTAGCATAATACTAAATTTAAAACCTGTAACGTGGATAATATTTTAAACTAGTTTTCACATCCCTCAAGTAGCCTACATACTCCTTCGTTTACCCTTGTCCATTTTCTTTCCCTATCCTCCTGCCTAGAGGGTAGTATCTTCACAAAATCTTGACCCAGTATTAGTCTTGCTTGCTCTGTTGTCTTTAAATATATTCTTTGTTATTGGTCTGTTTTGTTGTTCTTGTTGCCCTTCACAAGTCTTTATACAGTAGTAGTAGCAAAATACAAAGCTATTCAAATGTCTTAAATAATGCCTCCCTAGAGACTATTAGTTGCTTCCCTAGATCCCTTACTTGCTTTAGCCAGGCGTCAGTGGCCCTGGTCTAATTGTGGTCACGGATGTATTGTGGATGTAACAGCAAAGCAAGTTGAGTAATCCTCTTTTCAGTTATGTTTCTCAATGGCAGTTTGTTGTGTAAAACCATTTCTGACAAGACTCAGTTGGCAGATATTTTTCTAACAAATGTTCATCCCAGATGCTACTCGTTGTTAAACAGGATGTGCCAAGATTCAGAGATTGAGATAGAAATGTAAAACCATTTTAGATTTTAAACCTTAAGGAGTCGAAAATAGTTTTGTAGAAAGAACAGTAGTTCTCCATATGCGACTGTAGCCTATACTTGATAAAAATAGATAGAGCTTCAATATTTGTATGTCAGGAGGGAGCAGGAACTATGAATGTGGCATTATATTCAGTTCTTCCAGTCACACCTCTGCGGACATCAGGGCTTAAGGCCCTGCAGGTGACGTGGGCATCCTCATTATCTTGCACTCAGGTTTTTCACTGAAGTCTAATTAGCAAATTCTTGCCTGTGAGATTTGTAAACTTTGGCGACTCTAAGAAGCCTTCAAAGTCTAAGCAAGCAGTGGAAGTCCCTCTCTTTTGCCTACAGGGAAACTGGTTTGAGATTCCAAAAAATTATGCTCCCCCACAATGCTTTTTCTTCCTTTGAATTCTACACTAAAGAAGTGAAGAGTTTTCCCTTTTTGCATACTGTTTTTTTATTGCTTGCTATCCCTCTGAATAAAGTTTCTGTCTGGGTGGTCACATCCTCGTTGTGTCTGTATGGTTGCTGCTGCTACAGTGAACAGAGAAGCAAAGCCCACGAGTTTAAATTAGTTTCCGCTTCATGACATTGTCCAGTCAGTTTTGTGCATTGGGGTATTTAGCATTTTAATAATGAACACTATTTCTAATTACGCAGGGTGTTTAGTCTTAAAAAAAAATGCATGTGTCAGATTTGGAAGTAGCAAAGCAATGATAAGAGCTGGCAGCTGGATTAAAACAAAACATTACAGAATTTCTTCTAAATGAATTAAATAGGTTTAAATTTTCTTGAAAGTGCTCTATTTAGAAGCAGCAGTTCAGAGAAAGCAAGTATACCAGCACACAGTGAAATTGGCTCTTACTCCTCACCCGGGGCTAGTTCTAACTGACCACTGTGCTACTGTATGGTTTGATTGTGCTGACAGTTACATGCCACTGTTCCCGTAATAACAAGTTTTCTTCTTTGTTCAAATGAATTTCCTAATTACACGTGTGATGGGATGTTTTAATTCTTTTCCCTTTTCAAATCCACCTTCCTGTTGCAATGCATGATGGGCAGGCTCAATATTGTGCATGACACCCGCTACAAGTGTTGGTAGGTGCCAGCTTTGTTTCTTGATTATCTTAAACCTACGTTGCATCTCACAGCCCCTCAAAATCCACTGCTAAGTTTAACGTGTATCTATTGGGCAAGTCCATTTCCTTTTTACTAACACCTGTCAATTAAATGCCGATTTCTATTTAATTGACATGCCCCCTCCCCACATAAATGTTTTCTTTCCACACAAGTTTCCTTAATCACTTAATTATTAGTGGATTTTGATTGGACTATGAGTTCTGGTATATAAAAACAAGTCTCTCTCATAAAAGTAATGACTGTATATTTTTATAGTAGTGAATAATAAAAAAGAACTTTTATTCAAATGGATAACTGTACATACAAAGTAAATACCTGTATTTTATTTATATTTTAATGTCTTTGAATACTATATAAAATTCTTGTTTTTTAACTTAGCAAATTAAGCCTGTTTGTATCAATTTTCTTGATTTAATGGTAACAAGCTTTTTTTCCCCCCCTCTTTTTTTTTTCTCTTTCATCCCTCCCTCCCCTTCTCTCCTTGGAATGTTGTCCTGCTTTGCGCTGTGATTGCATGTCACTCGCTGGTGATGATGTTCTGTCACATGGCTTCTTGCTATGATAAATACCATTGCCCAATGATCTCCTCCATGTTGCCATGGTTTCCATATTGCTACACTCTTCTGTATGTTTGCTTATATGATTTTCCCTCCGAAAGTTCCCATGGTGCACGGTGCTACGCCAGCCACTGTGTCCGCAGCAACAACATCTGCCACAAGTGTTCCCTTCGCTGCAACAGCCACAGCCAACCAGGTTTGCTAATTTACAGCTTTGTTTCTTAAAAACCAACTCTTAATAGGGCCAAGTCCAGCAGCCTTAATGCACATGGATCTCCCATTGTGCTCAGTGGGAGTCGCGTGTGTGTGAGAGCTGTAGAGGGTGCCGTCATGAGCATGGGGTTCAAAGATACCTCTTGTTGGCCTACACATTCTCTCTATGACAAGCAGCCGATTGCTTTTATGCCATTTATAAGTGCTCCAAAGTGTCGCAGCTCTGTTTCTGAAGCTACTAAACTGATATTTACACAAGCAATTCTCATTTTTCTCAACCAATCGTCTAAGGATTTTGGCAACCCAATGTGGGAGCAATTATGAGGTTAATATTAAAGCATCTGGTATATACTTTCTCAGCTCGTTCCTAAATTCTTAATAAAAAAAAGGGAAAATATTTTAATGTATTCCTATGCCACAAATGACCACTCTTGTAAATAGAGTTTTGATATATAATTTTTATAGCTTAATTTTGATAAGCAGATTGCTTATTAAAATGAATTGCTTTTATGCAGCATCTCTCAGCCTTGATTCTAGCTGCTTTAAATGGAAAAGGAAATTAAGTACTCTCTCGCTTCCACAGTTAACCTGCATAAATATGGGACATTTAGGGAGGAAGAAAAAGAAATAATGAATGATAAATAAATTATGAAAGCACAGTTTAGTAGGGATGGTGGTGCATGAAAGTCACTAAACCGGGTTATGCCTGTTTCACTGGCAGAAGTTAGATGGAGCCTGGTGAGACTGAAAAGAACCTTGTCAGATGGGATCTAGCATAGTGTCCTTGGAGCAGGCAGACAAACTAAGAACCAAAAGTTAGTGCTATGAGGAGCATCTGCTTTCTTTTTGTTTTGTTTTTCTTTTGTTTTTTCAATATATCATCTTCTGTTGATGAGCTTTGAGCTATTAATATAGTCATTAAAACCTTTCAAGATCATAATGCCAAAAGGATTTAATTTTAAGTTTCAGACAAGCCTTAAATAATTCTTGGCTAAGAATCATTAGTTTTTCAGACTTATCAAAAATACCCTTGGATTTGTACTAACACAGAAGACTCATTTACAAGAATGCTAGATTGTGCATATGTGGCATGATAGTTTGACCGAAATCTCAGTAGATGCAGTGCAGTCCATTTATGGTGCACATCAATGATGCTGGAATCTCCTGTGTATTCCATATATGACTATAGAATTGCTGGTGTAAGCACAACTATAGCAAAGCAAATTCAAAATGCCCTTGGCCACTTGGGTTGTAGGGGACACTTTACTTTTTGCATTGTGCTGTGACCATTTCATGCATAATTCCCTGGGTCTTCATACTATTACTATTCTACAACCAAAGGAAAGGGAATGGATATATATATACACACATATATTATATCTACATATACATACATATGTATATGCCTACAGTACATTAGCAATGCTGGGAATAGCTGATGCCACAAAATGCAGCCTGCATGCATGCAGAAGTTTATAGCTGGCCCTTCATCTGCATCGAGTGGTGTTGAAGGTCCTTGGTATGTTTCGACAGCCCCATCCTTGATGCTTCTACACTGTTGGGTGCAACATCCTGCCCTGCAGCAGCAGGAACAATGGTATGAGAAGCTTCATTATGCTTGGAGCACATTTTCGTGCCATTTGCCAATGCTGTAAAATTGTGTAAAAATGTCAGCTAAGAAATTAAAACTAAAAGGAACATAGTAATAGATACTCCAGAATGTGAATTATAGGTTTTAGAAGATTGACGTAGTCTAGGGTATTTAAAAAGGAAACAACAAAAGCCTTCATGTATGTGAGACCATTGTTACCCCAACTAACTTTCTGAAATGGACTTAGTGTCATTGTATAGAGTAAGTTGAAATAGTCACCAGTTAGTTCCTTTGCTCAGGTTCACACAACCAGGAAACAAATAAGTGTTAGAACCAATGTTTTCAGGCCTCGGCTACACTCAACCTGTGGGGTTGCCTTGCCCACATTATCAACCTTTAATTGGAGGTTGAAGAAGAATCAAGTCACATGTTTGATTTCGTATGGAAAAAAGTAACCTCTGTATTGGTTTCTCATTGTATTTTCTCCGAAGTTCTCCGAGTCCCTGCCTATCTAAAATGCAACGGCTTGTGTAGCTGATGAACAAACCGGTTCTCTTTCCCACTTATTTTTTGAACCACGTTTTTATAATGCACACCTGGTTTATTTAATTTGGGTCAAAAGTTAAACACTTTGATCTGAATGAAAATGTTAGAAATTTGGTTGCACAAACTCAGGCAAGACATTTTTTTTTATTATTCTTGATTTCAGTATCATTGCTAAGTATTTGAAACCACAAGGGTGTGTGTGTGCGTGTGTGTGTAGGCCAACAAAAAGGGCTTCTTTTAATAACTGCTCTGCATGAATTTTTGATAGCTGTACTTCTCTTACTTTCTAAGTACTGGTAACATCCGTAGAGTAGTACTTAACGCGAAGATTACAAGCAGTGAGGTGCTTCTCTGGCATTTGCGTTTATATTAACTTTATGTCATGTTGACCCAATGAGGGCTGTCACCTCACAGCTGAATCTCACTGTTTTGTATAAATTTAATATTAAGATGTTTTCATCTCTCGGTGGTTGGCTTGCTTGCATGGATCATTCATTAAATAATTTTTTTATTTGCTAGATACCCATAATATCTGCCGAACATCTGACTAGCCACAAGTATGTTACCCAGATGTAGAGTTGTCGTCACAAAACAGTAAGTTTATTATGCAGTATAATCATTCAGTATTTGTGGTTGGAATATGTTAATACTTAAAATGCAAAGGATAAATATTTGGGGATATTTTAATTGATATTACAAATAAGTACAAGCTTGAATAAAATATGGCAAAGGTACTTAGAAGACAAAAAAATGAGTTAGCATTTGATGAAATTTTCTGCAAGGCCTACAGACCAGCTATTTTTGTCTGTATGCAGCATTCAGCTTCTGCTGCAATTCCCCCACTGTAGTGCTAAAACACTTAGAGAATGCAGAAATAAGTAGATGTGGACTGTACCTCAAGAAAATTCTTCAAATTAGACAGTGAACTAGATTTGGCTCGTACGCAATCATTTGGTGACTGCGTAGAAGTCATTAATTTTATTTTAACTATTATTTCACTCATTCCTATATGATAATACATATCCACCTGTATCATGTACAGGATTAGTAGGGAACAATGGATCTAAGTCAAATAACTTTATATACATATATGTATATATACACATATATACATACATACATGTACAGATATTTTTATCAGTTAAATAGTATTTCAAGACAGCTAGCTTAGTGATACAGGATTCTGAAGATGTTATTGTTCCTCACAAGGGTTTGCTTTCTGTGACATTGTTTTCAATACCTGCAAAATTTACTATTTTTTCTCCCTAAAGTACATGTTTCTTCAACATATACAACTTAAATTAGATCATGTCCACAGAAGCATGATAGGTACTTATATTTGTAAATTTGCAAAGAGCCGTTTAAAACTCAGTCTGGTCAGTAGAAGGTTCTTTTGTTGTTTTCCTGAATTTATTTGGTCGCTGACATATTGGCAAGTAAGGTTTTGTACTGCTTTTCTGTAAGTTACCCCATCAATGATGTAAATGATTTCAGAACTGTGTGCTAGCACAAGAGAACTTTGAACGAGTGTCCTGTGAGGCAGAGGTCCAGGGCTCCTCTTCTCAATGGTCAGAGAAGGCTTTTGGACAGTGAAGGTCCTGTGTGGAGGGGAGAGTAAGGACCTGGCAGAAGGGACAGAATCAGGTCTTCATGGTGTTTAGAAAACCAGGCGAGAAGAATCCACACCAAGAGCCAGACACAGATAGATCCCAGACTAGAGAGAACGGTGGGCAGAGTATGAGTTCGATTTAAGGAAGAAATGAACTGAGACTTTGAGGACCCTGCAAAACATGTGTTGCAGTCAAGTTATTTAAGTTGATTTTTCTCCATTTTGTAAGCTCTCTCAAAGCAATTCTGTCCAGGTATGGTGGTACACACCTTTAATCCCAGCACTGGGCACTCAAAAAATGTGTGAGTTTCTATGTGCTCAAGGCTGGTCTATATAATGAGCTCCAGACTCAGAAGGATACTCAGTGAGACCCTGTCTAAAAATGGAAGCATGGGTAGAAAATAAAATGCAGTTCCTTCGTAGTTGCTCAAATGCATGGAGTCAGGACATTACTTTGTTCGTTATAAGTTTAGAGGAAGTTGTCAACATGGTGTCTTCTGTGTGTGTGTGTTTGTGTATGTATGTGTGTGTTTGTGTATATGTGTAATGTATATTAACTATATACTGAACATGTTTTCAACAATTAATGTTTTTTAACAAAGACTATCTCTTTTTTCCATTGTAGATCATCAAAGAGGAAAGGACAGTGTGCTTGGTTAGAGTAAGGACGACGTCATTAGCCATATTGTATATACCGTCAAGCAACACACACAAAATCCCTCAGCCACAAGACATCCACATATTGCATGTTAACCAGAAGAAAAGACAACATGGGAACTTGCTGCACACTGTTGCCTACACACTTTGTACATTCAATTGGTATTTGTGCTGAGGTGATATTCCTATCTAAAAGAACAACATTGTCTTTCTTTTGTAGCACAGAGTTATGCATTAAAATATGCATACATAATTAGTTTCCTATATATTCATGCCATCTTGAAAAGACAGACTATGGTGTAACCATGATTCTATTATGTATTGGTACGTCTGTAGACCAAGATATAATTTTTTAAAAAATGAGTTTATTTCTTTCAAGGTTTACAAGTAACAAAGGTGCACCTTGTATTTAAAGTTGCCATTAGAGCTGAGAGCGCGCATGCACAGTCTTTTGTTTAAGAGTAATATTTTTACTGTAATAGATTGTAAGACGTGGAGAGGGAGGGATCTGACAGAGATGAATGTGCCAAGCAAAACCACAACTGTGTATATTTTAAAGCACATCATGGCTTTAAGTACCATGTTGTTAAGGATTCTCATGAAGTGCCATAGACTGTACATCAAATTAGAGTATTATTTCTTCAGTGTTATTATTTTCAGAGCCACATTTTGTTGCTTATTTGCTAGTACTAATCAATCAAAGGGCACCATTCTTCTTTTCTTTTTTGTTTTTGAAACCAAAGCTGTCTCAGAAATGGCCAATTTCACTCTACAGTAACAATAGACAGCACAACACAAACGCAGTACAGATAAACATTCACATACTGGAGATATATATATATAATAGATATACAAAATTATTTTAATGCATTGTAGTGTAATATTTATGCATACTCAACTATATTACATGTTATTCAAAAGGGATATGCCATTTCTGAGACACAATAACAAAAAATGTTTGAGGAAATTATTTTGCTTCTATTTATAGCCTCTGTCAAAAGTCAAAAGACTATAAATGCTTTGCAGAAATGGTTTCACGTTTGCTTCAATGCTTCATCACAGTCACGTTCAAAATAGTGACTCTAAACAAAGAGAACAGCACTGTCATCAGATGCATGAAAACCAAAATATGAAAATGGGAAATGTTTAATTAACCTAGTAATTGGGTGGGTTAAGTACATGGGTGAATTTTATATGTGATTCTTTTGTTCAGATTAACTGCTTATAGCCTTAGAAAGCCTTTTAAAAATTTTAAAAATAGATGTGCATTCAGTTTTTAAGAATGGATTCATCCAAAGGAATTCCCCTTTTTTGTGGTTTGGATGTTGCAGCTCGTAAAGGATATTTTTGCCCTGTTCAGCAATTCTAAAATCGCTGAGTAGGGGCCAGGTTACTGGCAGATCTAGTGTGGAATGGGAGAAGTGAGAGTTCCGTTATAGAACTTTCCATACTTCCAAGTTTACTGCAAGTTTTTATGCTTGAGAGAGATGCTTTCTAATATAAGACTGATGTGTTGATTTACTGATTGTACTGTACATCTATTAAAGCCTTAGATTATTACATTACGGGTTGGAACCCATACCAATGTAATTTCAATCGTGTTAAGAGAGTAATGGTGACTTCACATGTTATTGTAGTTAGTTACATTATAGAATATTACTTATTTTTCTTGTTAAAATGTAGTTTTTCATTTCCTACATTTATTAGATTTTCATTTTCTATTAACATTGAATACCATTTCAGTTTATAGACTATTGTTTTATTAGATTTTACCAATGAATTTTTCAAAATACAAAAAAATTAAAGTAGTTTTTCCTTCATAACATACTCAGTTTTAAATTACATGTAGTGTCATATGAATATCCGTATTATTAACTAAATGATTTATATTTTACTGATTTAATATTACAGTGTAAGAATGTCAGTCATTGTTCTTGTCTAGTTTTCATTAAAAGAACAAAGATCTTTTATATGGATATCTTATAAATATATAATCATTGCTAAGTAAGAAGTTAAGTTGTTGCTATGGCAACAATCCTGGCAGACAATTGAGTAATATTTTGATGATTTATTTTGTTTGTAATTAGTTATTATGAGAAGATCTAGATCCTAGATATTAGAATAAAATTTATTTTCTACTGTATCCATTTCAAATGTTAAAGTATTGTTTAATATTTTTGAAATCCCTGAATATCAGGCCTTGTTATAAATAAGCTGCATAATCAATAAATAGAACAAGGGACTTTTTGTTGATAATCCAAATACTCAAAGTTTACGTAATGAGAATTTTAGCGTGTGTGCAAACTCTTGAGGGTTGATGATGCTGCAGTTGAGCATGTTGGAGAGTCTAGAGAGAAAGGTTGACTTTTTGCACTTCTGTATATAGTCAAAAGAGAGAAACCTGTATAATAGCAAGATCTTATTTTGAATAAAAACGTCTATAATTACAAGGAGTTTTGTTAAGGCTAATGAGATGACAGACTGAGCAAAATTGCTTCCGAAAGTGGCACAGACTTAGCACTCCATACCCTTCAGACGCGTTGCTTTGCTTTTTTTGTGGACAGCTTGTAGTTTGCCAGGATTTTTCAGCTGGAAAGATTTGCCATCCTTCCAAGATCTCATGACTGACAAAACTCCATTGGGCCAAATCTGCCTGAAGATCATTACCAAAAATAGCAGGTACTTCAGCCATTAAGGTGAAATCATGGATCAGATATTCCTTACATTGTTTTCCAAACTACTGCATGTTTAAAACTTCAACAAAAAGAGAGAAAGAACTATGCTAAGGACATATATTATTCAAATCGGTTTCTGCCAATTTCAATGGTTTATTGTTCACAAAATGAAATCTTCCAAACAAGTATTGACTTTCACAAAATTAAAACCATAAACAGGCAAACCAAACAGCACACCCGTAGTTGTTACGTGATTGTTTTTTAATTGCTGTAGATCTTGTTCTTTCCGCAGGTGAAAAAAGAAGTTCAAATTTCACAGTTTTAATTTTCAACTCGGAAGTACTCAAAAGAGCAAAATGTGACAATGGCCACTTGATTAATTACTTGGTTGCCCAGCCTTCACTCCAGCTGGCTGCTAATGTTGCCCTTACCAGCAACCCGACCACTTTCATCTGCCGAAAGGACAATGTGCTTGGTTTTACTATTATGTAATCACAACTTACTTTCTGCTTGTAGTTGCTTACAATTATGTATTTTGTCTAGGGCTGCAATTTGTTTTATGCTTATTTTATTATTACTGCAGTAGTTGACTTTGCTGTATGGAAAAATAAAGTGAAATTGCCCTAATAAAACTTCTCTTTCTTAAGTACATATGTGTATCTGAGATTGAGTAGTGAATTATTTCTCAGCATTTCACATACATTACATATACACTGTAATGAACATAGGTATAAATTGTCTGGTTTCAAAAGATTGCAGCGAAGGCAGCTAATGTTTTCTGACGCATCATCTCTCCATGCTGAGAATCTAAACTGAAGAGATAACTGATATTTTCCCAGTGCTTTGTAAAATTTCTCAGCCCACTTTTCCTGGCTCTACTAACTTAAATGGTAGATGAGGAAAATATATGTAAGTTAAAAAAACAACAACAGAGTTTTTTAATTCTAGATCTTTCTATGAAGAAATGTAAATTACTTGGTTAATTCCTATTAACGAGCTCTGAGAGACAAATTCGTAAATAAGATTGCACTCTATTCAGAAGGACACAAAGGTTAAACAGCTGGTTGAGCCACATTCTGCATACCTACTCAGTGTGTGTGTGTGTGTGTGTGTGTGTGTGTGTGTGTGTAAGTGACCGTGTGACTGTTTGAATTTGTTGAAGTCTTTACAGCTAGTGATAATGTGGTATCCCTTACCAGATAGCTGTGAAGAACTAAGTTCTAATATGAAGAAACTATTTATCATTCAGTTTTATTATATGTTTGCTCTGGTCCTTAGTATTTGTCAAAGGCTGCACACTTCTCATTTGAAATTTCATTTCTTTTTTTTTCCCCAAAACTTCTTTCAGGAATGATGATGATAAATGCCTGGTTTATTGTTGACTTATCGCTAACAGTTCTGTTAGTGATTTGAGTTCTCAACATATGCAACCATTTTGTATGACATTCATCAAAGAGAGAAAGCTCTACAACTTTTCTGAGTGCCATAAAAAAAAAAAAACTATGGGACTAGAGAGATGGCTCAGCAACTTAGAGCACTGGCTGTTCTTCCAGAGGACCTGGGTTCAATTCCCAGCACCCACATGGCAGCTCACAACTGTCTGTAACTCCAGTTCCAGGTACCCGACACCCTCACACATGCCTGCATGCAAGCAAAACACCAATGCACATAAAATAAAAAATAAATTATAATGGAGAACTAGTTCTCTCTAGTCTGAGATACCTAGTTTTTTTATTTTAGTGTTTTTTTTTTTTGAGACAAGGTTTCTCTGTGTAGCCTTGGTCAACCTAGAACTCACTCTTTAGACCAGGCTAGCCTCAAACTGAGAAATCTGCCTGCCTCTGCTGCCTGAGTGCTGGGATTAAAGGTGTGTGCCACCACCACACAGATGAAGAACTTATTTTTATTATTTTACTTGCACACATGATTCTCTGACTGTGAGTGTATGCCCATATGTGTGTGGGTGCCTATGAAAGCCGGAAGAGGATGCCAGCTCTCTTGGAGCTATAGTTCCAGACAGTTATGGGTTCTGCTAATGGCACTAAGGTCTTCACAACCATTGAACTCTCTCCAAACCCTATCTCAGGTGTTTTTTGATCGACTGAAAATGCTATAACGAAAATCATTTTTACATTTGCATTTACATTACTTCACATGAAGCTCTATTCTATCACAACAGCATATGAGTCTACTGAAAAATTTTGCATGTGGTAGTATTCCCCTCAAAACATCATTCAGAAAGATATAGTTTTACTGAGGCGTCTACTAAAAACCAGTTCATGGATCGGAGCCCTCTGCTAGGCACCAGCTCTTTCTTACACACATAGAACAAAATCGTTTGCTCAATGTAAGACTTTATCACACAAAGCACAAAGGGATTTACTTTGTGCTTTGGAATGGCCGTGACACTCAGCATCACATGACGGTGTAGTCATCTTTCTGAGACTCTGCAGTGGTGGTTTTCTTCATGTAGCTAGGCATCTGCAGATGTAAAAGAACCTGTGGAACACAACAACACAATATTGATAAATTTTTGGTTTGATAACTCCATTGACTGGAGAGTCTGGACCATCTCTGCCATGGCTGAGGCAGTCCACTATATCTTTGGGAAATCATCTATGTTATAATTATAAGAAGTTGGAGACTTTTGAAAGCTTAGTATATATTTATTCTAAATGTTCAGCATCCAGCAATGAAGTGAAACAAGAAGGAAATTTAGAGACTGAAATGTCAGAGACTTGCTTTGAACTCAGTCTGACAGTATCAAAATACCACACTGAAATAACTTGATTGTGGTCCTGATAATCATCACCATACTTAGCCAGCCCCTGACACTGCCCACAGCATTTGAGGTGTCCGCTCCCAAGTCATATTTGCTCAGGGCTACACTGAATAAGCAGATCTCCTCCTAAGTCTTCAGGGTGTGGCCAGCAGCTCTCTCCTGGACTGTGTTTGGAAAATGAAAGCATTGGCCAGGTCAGAGCTGGGACTCAGGAACTCTTCTCTCTGTCTCTACTGTCAAATCCCCTTGTGAATGGAAGGATGTGAGTGACCCAGCAAGGCTGTGCCACGAAGATTGGGAAGAATCGAAACCACAGTGGGCTAATGTCATAAAATGTTTGCTGTTAAGATGTGCACTGACGGCTTTCTTAAACTAAGAACTGAAGACACAGTAGTTCAAGTGAAGGGCTCACAGCAGGACCCTCTGAATTCGTTTTTCAGTACTTTAAGGCCTCGGCTGTGCTAAGTATCTTCAGCTGTCTGTAATGGTTCCTCCTTCAGTATGTAGTAACAAGGGCATGAACATTACAGGAGAGTTCAGCAGTTTCTAGATGTTGCTGCAGTTTGGAATTGTTTGCAGGATCTTTAAAGCATAGCTACTTGCTTCCTTGGAAACCTGGCTTAGTTGCTATGGGGAAAACTCATAGGCTAACATCTATAGTGTTTTAAAAGGAGTCTACTACAGAACCAGTAATGATGTTAACAAGGATGGCTAATTTTACTTCATCTGTTTTCCAAACCCCACACTGGATCTTTAGCTTTCCATCCTAGTTTTGGGGTCACCCATTGCTTTTTATTGCAGCTAGATTTCCATACACCATCTCCATCCACTTTTGCCATAATTAGTTCTGTCCTCGTTGACTTCTGAAACATTATCTTGCTGCCATTCAGCACCACACCATAACAGATCTCTTGTGCTTCTCGTGACGATTTCTAAAACTACAACTAACATCACTTTTTCTAATTGTCTTTGAATGTGTACTTCCTGTCCTAGCTGGATATAATAATAGACCATGCCTAACCCCTGTCAGTTTGAAAGCAACCATTCGGAAACATGCACTTTTTACTGTTTGACCCTTTAAAAATTTAATAATATACTCAACATCAAACAATATATGTATCACCATGTGTATTGTGCTACTAAATTTATTTGAAATATGGCAGCATCCAAGTTAGCATCAATATGCTTTAATATATGTGTTTGTGTTTATATGTGGGTTCAGAAGATTGGATCCAGGACTTGTTAATGCTAGGCAAGTGATCTACCCCTGCTCTCAAACTCCACCCCTGCATGTTTTATTACTAGTTTATTATATATGTTTCAATAATCAAAGACTTAGTTCAAGAAACATACCTGACAGTATGTTATGGACTGTGCTATATTCTTAGATACCAGGGCAGAAAGTAAGATCCTTACTTTAGTGCAAGACAAATAGAATATTCCATGTAACTATGTGGTTATCCCGAGTTCCTATCTCCAACACCAGTCTCAGTCTTGTTGAGTATACTACAAAGTAACTTAAAATAAGATTAAGTAACAACCACCCACCCTTATTCAGTGGAATATCAACATCCTTAGTAACTCATTGTTCATTAAAAATTATCCAAGTATTAATACCTATATACACATATGTGTGTGTGTGTGCGTGCATCATTATTGTGCACACATGTAATCCCAGCACTCAGGCTGAAACAAGAGTGAATTTGAGGCTGTATTCCGGCAGCATGTTTCTGAAAGTAAAAGAAATATTACCGCAGAAGATTTTTAATGGCATTTGTTTTCAAGTAAGGCATACAAAATAAAAATTTTATACCATGTGGAAACTGGTATTTTGAATGTGTACATTTTTAGTGGGAAACCAACTTAAACCTGTATTGCCTCAAGCATTTTTTAAATTTATTTATTTATTAAAGATGTTTGTCTCTTCCCTGCCACCGCCTCCCATTTCCCTCCCCCTCCCCCATTCAAGTCCCCCTCCCTCGTCAGCCCAAAGAGTGATCAGGGTTCCCTGCCCTGTGGGAAGTCCAATGACCACCCACCTCCATCCAGGTCTAGTAAGGTGAGCATCCAAACTGCCTAGGCTCCCACAAAGCCAGTACGTGCAGGAGGATCAAAAACTCATTGCCATTGTTCTTGAGTTCTCAGTAGTCCTCATTGTTTGCTATGTTCAGAGAGTTCGGTTTTATCCCAGGCTTTTTCAGACCCAGGCCAGGTGGCCTTGGTGAGTTTCTGATAGAACATCCCCATTATCTCAGTGTGTGGGTGCACCCCTTGCGGTCCTGAGTTCCTTGCTCGTGCTCTCTCTCCTTCTGCTCCTGATTTGGACCTTGAGATTTATGTCCTGTGCTCCAATGTGGGTCTCTGTCTCTGTCTCCTTTCATCGCCTGATGAAGGTTAATATTCAGGAGGATGCCTATATGTTTTTCTTTGGGTTCTCCTTATTTAGCTTCTCTAGGATCACTAATTATAGGCTCAATGCCCTTTGTTTATGGCTAGAAACCAAATATGAGTGAATACATCCCATGTTCCTCTTTTTGGGTCTGGCTTACCTCACTCAGGATAGTGTTTTCTATTTCCATCCATTTGCATGCGAAATTCAAGAAGTCATTGATTTTTACTGCTGAATAGTACTCTAATATGTATATATTCCATACTTTCTTCATCCATTCTTCCATTGAAGGGCATCTAGGTTGTTTCCAGGTTCTGGCTATTACAAACAATGCTGCTATGAACATAGTAGAGCATATACTTTTGTTGTATGATAAGGCCTCTCTTGGGTATATTCCCAAGAATGGTATTGCTGGGTCCAGGGGTAGATTGATCCCGAATTTCCTGAGAAACTGAAACACTGATTTCCAAAGGGGTTG